AGAACATATTCATTCTCCAGCACATGAAACATGAAATTATTTAAGGGCAGATCACTGTAAGGTTTTGAATTAAGAAGAGCATTATTGAATAGAAGAAGTGGTAGCGAGACCATACATCTGCTTAACTGATAGGTAAAGCATATATTCACAGCAAACATCCAGGAATAGGATTTCCCTGGAATGCCAATTACAGCACTAAGAAAACAGACTGATGGAAACGGCCTTTCTGACGTTGCTCACTCATCGACTACAGAGAATGTAGTGCATAGTGCATCCATCTAAACTTAGGAACCTGAGCAAACATGAGAATCAGAAGAGCAAAGGGAAAAGCCAGCTACCAAAATACCAGCGTCACCTCAAGATGGACAGAGGACTGACTAAAGCAGAAGATGGCATGGGCCTAGAGACAGCAGTTTGCGAAGAACAAAGACTCTCAGCAGCATTTAGGAAAATGAACCCATGACTGGCTCCAAGATCCCCATCCCTGAACTGCTCATTATTCCAGGAAGTCTTTTGTTAGCGTGAAGAACTAGAAGTCTAGAAAACAAGGACTCCAGCCTGAAGGTTAAAAAGAAGAGGGGAGAGGCTGAAAATTATAGACCTGTAAGTCTAGCATCTATATTAGGAAATAAATTTGAGATGATACTCATGGATGAGCTTAATGATACATTTGGAGAAGTACAATTTAATAGGAGTGAGTCAGCATGGATTTACCAAAGGCAAGCATGTCAGAAAAAAATTCCTTCCTTTTTATGTTGAAGTAATAATTGGTTTTTGTAAAGGAGAACCAATGAAAAACTGTCAGGGTTTTCAGAGTTTTGGGCTTTTTCATAAAATAAATTATTGTACAGGATGTCATGACATGTGTCAGAGCATCAAACTAGCAACGGGTAAGAAAGGAACAGGGCGGAGACAGTGGGTCAGACCCTGGGAAAGGAAGGGCTGCCTTGTGCAAGGATCTGCAGAGCAGGGCACACAGCCTGACTGCAGGACATTAGTGTCTGAGGACACCAGCTTGGGGAGCTCACTAGAACAAAGGCTACAGCAAGTGGGCCGGGGAAGAACATCAAACCTAATCTAAGTATAAACTTGAGTAGAATTAAAAAATCAAGTAAGTATAGCTTAAATGGTACTGAATTAGTTATCATTAGAAAGGAGGACAAAAGGACATGGGGTTTTGATCACAGTCAAATTTCTCCATCCCTCTATTTATAACTGGCTAAGAGAAAGTGCTATGAAATACAGTTGAATAAATATGTTATAAAGAATAGAAAAAAACTTAGAGAAGAATATGAACATATAAAGAAAAAGCACAGTAAATTCACATTATGCCACCAGATAATAATTTAGGATACTATTTAAATGACTATGTCTTAGTATGTAGAACTAATAAAAATTAACTTAAATATGACGAAAAATATGACATCAGAAAACTAAACAAACAAAAAAGATCAAGAAAAGTACCATATCATAGCTCACTGCCTAATCTTTCCTGAGAGAGCACATTGGTCTCTCACTGACTTCAAGCATCTGGACATCTCAGAGAGGAATATGGGGTACAGGGAAAAGCCGGCCACATTCTCCTGGGGCTGAGATGAGACTCTCACCATGAACAATGAGTGTTACCTCAGCAGCATGAGGGGTCAGCACAGCAAAGACAATCCTACAGTTCTGTCACTTGAAGCTTTCTGTCACCTCCAGTGAATTTCTCTGCCATCATCTCCCCTTGTTTGAACTAAGTTCACAGCATTCTAAGGTAAAACTACTGCAGAGAAAAGGGTCACACATAAGTTAGTGTGGTCACTCATTGTCCCCACTGACACATTCAGCTCTGTCTCAAGGTGTGTGGGTGTGTGCCCAGCTTACTCCTGAGGAAGTGAAACAGCCTGAAGTGCAACTGTTAAACCTGTGGGATGACAGTCAAGGACTTCTGAGACGAAATGCATGATCAGGAGAGCACGGGATGATTGTTTTCCAACTGAACACAAGTCTGCACTGACTAGGGTTAAGAAACAGAATAGGGCAAGGACCACTGAGCTTTTACAGCATCTGATACCTAGAGGGAAAGCACACCCTGAGGCTATGGCAAGAGTTTGATGCTGCCTGTGATTATATTTCACTGAAATTACTCACAATGTAGTTTTTGTGTCTACCTTAGTTCATGCAATGATATGATTAAAAGATTTATATACACTTGTTGACTACAGTTTTAATTCTTTTCATTGATGCTGAGTATTTCTTTATACTAACATACAATATTATACATTCTACGTGTAGTTTTGTTTTTGACTAGAGTGAATGTATCAAGTTACATTACATATGGACACTAAGTAAAAGATAGTGTTTATGTAGTAGATTACTACTGAAGAGCAGATTAAAAACACACAAGCATGTAGGTTAGCTGGGACTGAACTACATGAACACAAAGTTATGGCAAGAGGTATGGCTATAGACAGAAAAAGACCAATTCATTATCATAAGTAAATATGCAGATATACCTCATCATATATGAGTTACATATATAAGTATGTATGTAAAACATCCTAAAATTCTATGTATCCAGTAATGTATCTTTAAAATATGCAAAAGTCGCCGGGCAGTGGTGGTGTACGCCTTTAATCCCAGCACTCGGGAGGCAGAGGTGGGCGGATCTCTGAATTCTAGGCCAGGCTAGACCAACAGCCTCCAAAACAATACAGAGAAACCCTGTCTCATAAAACCAAAAAAAAAAAAAAATGCAAAAGTCAAAGCTAACAGAATGAAGCCACTTGATGGAAATACACTAATCCACAGTAATAAGGACATGTATACTAATCTTCCCACTAACAGTTGAGAGAAATGGAATGTAAAAAAACCAAACACAGAGCAGTGAGTAGGGGCAGAGGGTAACAGCACTCGTCATTCAAGCCCGACAACTTGAGTCAGATCCTTAGAGCCCACATAGACGAGAACCAGTCCTGAAAGCTGTCCTCTGACCTCCATGCATGTGCTGTGGCATGCTCATGTACTACCCCACTCTCCCCAACATCGCACATACATGTGCCCTCACCGAGTAATATAAATGAAATTAAATTTCAGAAAGTCCAGCAAGAACACAAGCAAGGCAACCAATACTGTGAACAAACTGGATGAGGCTAAGTAAGCAAACCAGGCCCTTATCCCACTGCTATTCCTCTAACCTCTTCCAGGCTACCATTTTCACACATCCATACCTACTGCATGCAGGATACAAAGAGAAAACTATGGCCAACCATTCATGAGCCTCATACACATAGGGAAGTGGAATAGTTTCGTCAATCTTTGTCCGTGGCTAGTGAGACATCAAAGCCCACCATTAAGTAGTGTCTAGCATCACTAGTACATGGGCATGTGGTCTGTCCTTCTCATCTAGAACATAAGATGGACACAGAGTTGCCATCTATGAGGAGTGTCCCACTTTCTTTAGCATTTGTTTCTTTGACAAGTTAAGAGAAACTTCACCCCAGATAGAGAGTCCGTCATACGCATACAGCTTGGATGAGAGCAGAGAGACAGATGTGTGTCTGTGGGGGGCAGCTGGAGGAACAGTCACACTGGGTAAGGACTCTCATGGTCCTCTCCACAACGCAGTGCACATGATTCTGGGTCAGAACCCAGGTCAGTCCTTTCAGGACCTCAGCTGAAATGCTGTCATGCTGATGAAAAGAGCCCAAGGGCAGGGACAGTCAAAATAGCCTAATCGAACATTATCTGTTTGTGTCAACTCCAGCTGATATACATCCATGCATACAACAGAGGTCCAGAAATCAGCCACCCCATCATTACTTCAATATACTGATAATATGAATCATTTTAAGTTGAGAAAATTGAAAGAATATACCAGTATCAGACTTGGAATTGCCATACACTGTCAGATGCATTAAAATTTTCTTAACTTATATTATCCACCAAGTTCTCTTTTCTCTGATGTGGCCATCATATGTGCAAAATTACATACCTTAAAACAACCCATTGTTATGGAAAGGCCTTCCCTTGGTTTTCAAACACACACAGCCTGTCTTTCCCAGCCCTGTTATAATGCTGTCCACAGAGTATCTGACCTAACAGCTGCATTGCATGCAGCATACAGTGGCACCTCACAGACATATACTAACCAACCCCTGGCATGGAAAAGCCAGCCCATCATAGGCCACATGACCAAGTGAGAAGCAGAAGTGACCAGCTGTCAGCTGCAGTGGCCAGGTTACACTGGCTGTATTTGCACATGGTACTGTTAGAGCCACAGTTCAGGACACTTGTCTACACTGTCTTTAGTGGTAGATGCCTCCTTAAACAGAACACCATACCTGCAGCCCAGTGGTTCCTTTTGTGTATAGAAGATTCTATAGGGACATTTTTCAACTAAGTAAAAAGCTGGTGACCAATTTGCTTTACCTAGAGTCGCTACTATACATGATACCTTCCATCATATCTGACTTCTACTTCAAGAGGTAGGAACAACCTGGCAGCCATGCCATCACTAGGTTCATCTCCTGATGACTTCTGGAAAGGGAGGATCTAGTAACCTCCAACGTGCTTGAGGTACTTCCTCAGCCACATTCTTCCAACTTTCAGGTTTGTATGAGAAAACAGAGGTACAAATAGCACAGTGTAACATTTTACATCATAAAAACAATGAAAAATTAAGTGCTATCAATTAATAAAAACAAAGTTCAAAAGCAACTCTGACATCAGTATCTGACTATGTTTTAAATATCTGCTATTAGCTTTGAGGTCCCACAATACTTTTATTCGATTTGCATATGTGATTAAAATACAGGTGAAAGGGCCTATTTCCACATAGAGTGGGGAAGGAGCAAGATGAACTTCTACGCAGGGCCAGAAACAGACTCCATCAACATTGGGTTCATGTGAGGAAGTCACAGTAATCTACAAACAGCTTCGTAACTACTGTGGTAAATGAAAGGAGAACGTGGTAAACAAACAACAACACAAGCACTTTAATGGTTTCCATTCCTTACCGGCATGCAAGTATGCGAGGTCAGGGTTCTCAATGTCAGGATGCTGCTCTTTCAAGTGGTTTCGGAATTCCACGGGGACGTTTGTCCCATAGTCACATTTTGGGCAGTTGTACATCTTGACACCCTCATGTTTGCCAGTGTGTAGAATGTGTTTGCGGATGTTCTCAGCACAGTTTGACCTATCAAGTAAGAAAGTAAATGAAGTTAAGTCAAATAAGTATCATTATGCTACAAATGCTGACACTAGCCACTCTTGGCAGCGTTGTTTCTATGTGCTGGGTGGTAATCAATCTGCTAATGACACACAGTTAACAAGAAGGAACCAGCCATATGATGACATAACACAGGTAGCACATCCTATGGTGGTCTTCTGCCTCAGCAGTTCAGTTCTATGTGGAATTAGAAGCATAAAAATCCAGGTCCTATATATTTAACATCAAGTTATTCTGGTACTGTGTGAGGGCAATGAAGGTGTTGCTTTATGTACCAGGACACACAGCACTGCTGCAGAGTGGGAACAAATGGAAGTCACTGAGCCTAGGGCACTGAGGAATCTTATGTATTTAGGTTCATCCAATAAACACTGCTTCCACTTAGGGTGCTGGGATAGCCTGAAGACAGAAAGGTAGCTACAAATAGTCCCTTAATTTGTCCCATATTAGGACTATGTGGTGTTTCCAGAAAGTCCCCTGTGATGGTGGAGTTTCAGAGGTCAGACTGGACACTACAGTTGAGGGAGTGATAGAAAACAGAGTAAGACATGTATTGAAACTCCTGAAGATGCTGCTGAAGAACAGAACCTTGAAGCATTCTTAGATGAAAAGAAAGGCTTCATGAACATCTACGGCTAAGAAATGACGGTCAGTAGAGATGCCTATGTCATGCCACACAGTAAAAGGCCAGCAATCACCTTGGTGTCTCATGCTCAATTACGTCATGATGCTTATCTTTCATGGAATATAGTATCAAGAAGGTCTAGATGGTTATAGCCAACAGTTTTATATTAGCCTGCGCTATCATGCACATGTATTCACATATAAAGGAAGTAAGCAAGGCTGGAAATTGAGACTGAGGGAGGGAGTCCCTTTTTCTCTACTCCCAAGAGAAGATGGATAAGTACTCTCAAGGCATGGACAATGACATGAGGAACAGGATTGCACAGAGAGTGTCAGGGTGTTTCCTACTGAGAGAGGAGACTGCTGAAAAACAAGTGAATGAGACCCTCGCTTGGATCACAGTGACAGCCTGCCTGAATCCAAAGTATTACTCTGGAAAGCTTCTGTCACCACCGTGCCCATGGTATGTCATCAAACACGCACTCCCTTTAAGTATAGTTAGAATGGTTAGAAAAATAACTCCCTTTATGCCAGGGAAAGCTAAGATATTAGAAAGACACATATCAACATGCTATTACAGACAACACTGAAATGCTTGATTCTTTTTATATTCCAAAAGTATTTAAAATTTTACATAGTAGAAACAAAAAAGCTATTAACATCATCATGTGTGGGGTGAGTGATGTGGGATGTCCTTCTGTACACTGAGAATGTATTACTTTTATTGACTGATGAATAAAGCTGTTTCGGCCTCTGACAGGGCAGAATATAGCTAGGCAGGAAATCCAAACAGAGATAGAGAAAGAAAGAAGGGGGAGTTGAGGTGATGTCATGTAGCTACTGGAGAAGAAAGATGCCAGAACATTACCAGGAAGGCTCAGGAATACAAAGATTATTAGAAATGGATTATCAGAAGCCTGAACCATCGGCCAAACAATTATAATTAATATTAAGTGTTATCAAGGTTATTTGGGAACTGGCAGGCGGGAAAGAACTGGAACTACAGAGATTTTCCCAGCTAATTCTAGCATGCTTTGGGCAAAGGCTGGGGCAGATTGGCTGTTTAATGCCTCTTCGAGCTTAGACAGAATATGCATAAGCTAGGTGATATACATGTTTGATTTCTCTTCTATCACACTGATTACTAAATCTGTTTTGCACATGGATTCCCGATTCTATCACCAATGAAAGTAAGAAGAAAAGCATTTGTGTGTACCACAAGCGCCACTGGCCTGGTGAACATGATGCCACCACCGGAGTCTGTGAGGTCAGGGTTACTAACATGGGTTAGGATTAAGTGCCTGTCCCAGACTCACATGCTTAGGTCTGCTCTTCAGCTGACTGCGCTGTTTGGGAAGGTGCCGTTTTGGAATGTGGTATGTACTAAGGGGGGCTCCACCTTGCTCTGTCCCTCTTCCCCTGCCTCCTAATCACCATGAGGTGAACATCTATGCTGCATACTCTCAGTGTGTGAAGTTCTGCCTCTCCACAAGGTCCAAAGCAATGTATCCAGCTAATCCTGGACATTTAAACCTCCAAAACTGTGAGCTGAAAGAAATTTTCCTTCCTGCTAAACTGCTTCTTTCAGCTATTTTACACATAAAATGTCATCACTGACATAAAAATCACTAGAGTGGTGACTTTATGGAAAATCAAATAAATAGAGCAAAGAAAAGTTGATTCCTGAAGTAGCGGTGTAGTACAGAGTGATTATGGTTTCTGCTTAGTTGATTCCTCAAGTCGTGGTGTAGTATAGTGAGTGGTTATGGCTTCTTGGAAAGCCCGTTTGGATTCAAGTACACTAGAACAGTGCCTGTCACGTGTCAATTTCCTAGCACAGTACATATAAGGAAAGGACTACAGAACCACTTGGATGTACAGACACCATGGGCTCAGGATAAAGGAAGCTCAACAACAAAGATATCCCCTTCTATGTTAGCAAAAATGAAGAAGATAACAGGGCCTAGGTTCCAGAATGAAGAGGCCATGAACTATTAGTTTTACCCAAGTGAATAACGAACTTTTACTGAGTTTATCACTCAAATGTTACTTTGCCTGATACACAAATAAGAATAATTATCAAAACATCTTTCTTGCAGACTGGCTGAAAAACCCATAACACCATGAACACACATGCATGCAAGCTGCCCTCTGTTCAATCCCTGCCAAGAACCACAAAGCAAACTCCAGATTACAATGACTACCAGGTGGCTCCCAGCCCAGGAAAGGCACCCAGATACTCAGCAGGAAGAAGATGCTCTGCCCACTGTAGGAATGCAGAAGGGAGATTCCTTTACATGGCTCCTAAGGCTGTAGTGATTGCAGAGGACTTGCCAGGACTGAAACCCCAAATACTATTTTGCTAAGAACAACATTCTTTAAAGAGTTTAAAAAATTATTTGAAAGTTTCACGCATGCATACTATATATTTTGAGCATATTCACCCCACTCCTGGATCTACTACTCACCCTACATATCCCCCCTTCTCCTTCCCCACTTTATAAGTTTATTAATACATTGCTTAATTTATTGTATGGGAATGTATCCATGTTACTGTGTGTGTGTGTGTGTGTGTGTGTGTGTGTGTGTGTAAGTCAGCTGAGGACTTCTCTCATGCTCATCCAAGTAATCAAACTCAGGTTCTTGGATATGGCAGTAAGCACCTTTATCTACCAGGCCAGTTCAATAGCTCCCTTTTGTTATTTTATAATCCACTGAGTCCAATTTGTGGCTGTCATATACTCATGGTATGGTACACCCTTAAAGAAAACATACTCTCCCTCCACTAGAGGCCATCAGCTAGAAATAGAATTGAATAAGGTAGCTGTCTTAGGGTTTCTACTGCTTTAACAGAACACCATGACCAAATGCAGCTTATTTCATTTACCCTTATACATCTCAGGTCATCAACAAAGCAAGTCAGGGCAGAAACTCAAGCAGAAACCTGGAGGCAGGAGTTTAAGCTGGGGTCTCGCTCCTTATGGTTTGCTCCGGGTGATTTCTTATATACTCTGACCATCTGCCCAGGGATGGCACCACCCACAGTGGAATGGGCCTTTCCACATCAATCACTAATTGAGAAAAATACCCCACAGGCTTGTATAAAGGGCATTCAATTATGGTTTCCTTTTCTCAGATAACTGTAGCTTGTATCAAAGTTGGAAAACGAACAAACGAGCAACAACAAAACAGGACAGTTAATCTTTGTTTACTATACACCAATACAGTACCATTAAATAACCTTTCCTTTCTTGCTTATCCCCAAGATGTCATGCTAATCTTAATATCACAATATAAAACACAGTATATCTTTAAAGACCCCACAGTCTTTAAAAATTAAAATACTTTAAAAGCTCAGTCTAAGACAGGCAAAGTCTTTCAAATTTCAAAGCCTTTCTAAAGCAGCCAAGCTCTCCCTAAAATATAGTCTTCTAAAATTTCTAGACTCTAAAGCTGAGTCCCTCACTTGGTTACTCTTATATAATCAAAAACCCAAGTTAAACACTTCCTTACTTCATAGAGAAGAACCAGGACATAGTCACAATCAAATCAAAACAAAGCGCAGTCAAACAGGATAAATATCTCTGTGTCCAATGTCTGGGTTTCACTCATGATCTGTGGGTTCCCAGGGACTTGGTAGTTACATGTCTCTCCCGCTGCAGCACACACAGCTTGTCTGGGAGGCTTAGGCTGGCTCCACCCAACTGGTGCTGCTGCTCTTGGTTGGCATCAAATGGTATTAATGTCTCCAAAATCCTGGGGTCTCTTCTGCAACTAGGCTGTATTATCATTACCTAACTCGCCTGGACTGTCTTCAGGAACACGGGGCCTGACACAAGGTACCAAACCTCAATCCTGGGGCTTCTACTGCGACTGAGGATACATCTTCACCAATGGCCTCTCAAGGAGTACCAAATTTCAGCTGCTCTCCACAACCCCATCAAGTCTTCAAAACCTCCAGGGTGACTATCATTACCAAGTACAGCCTTGATACCCTTGCGACCAAAGTTACTGTGTGCTGACACCAAAGAAACACTTTCTAGAAAATTTCGCCTCAATGATGTTGGTTTCTTCTTAAACACAAATGATTCTTTAGTGCCAGTCAACCACCATCAATTCCCAGCAAAGAAAGCCTTCACTTTGCGGTGCTGACTTCCTGTTAATTCAGTCAATTCTTCAGGCCCACAGAATCTGAATTCAAACTTCGAAATGACCTGTCTACATCTTTAGGGTATTCCTCGCACACTTCTGAAACTTCACAAGTCAGGCCTCCACTGTCTGCACTACTCTCAGCATTATCATCTAAGTTCCCACAGCAGCTCATTAAACTCTGCACACTCAAT